TAGATGCTGAGATCTTTTTGGATTCTGACTCTCATTCTATGTGATGTGTCAGTTTCCTTTCCCATCTTTGTGTCAACTGCAACTTTGACAAACTTGCCTTCTATGTATTGATCAAAGACATGGTTAAAAATCTTTGAGCATTTTTATGCATAAGAACAGATCAAACTTTACTTCCAGGTTGAAGCTTGAATCTTTAATACTACTGTTTTTTTAAACTGGTCATTAAACTATTTCTGAATCCAGCTAACTGTACTTTTTATAGTCTTGTCCAAAGGTGTAGTGTAAGAAACTTGGACGAATGCTTTGCTGAAATCTAAGCAAACTGTCCCTATAGCGTTTCCCTCATCTCCCAGTTTAATTGCCTCATCAAAAAAAAAAAAAAAAAAAAGGAAATGAGATTGGCCTAGCACGACCTGCACTTTGGCTTTTAGGGATCACTGCTTCCCTTTCTATATTCAGTCTCATATACAGTCCCTTTAATAAGGGATGTGTCTTAACTAAGTTGCCTCCTTTCCTCTCTCCTGGTAACAAAAAGGGAAGTGCCTTATATGTTTGTTAAGCTGAAACACTACTCGTAGAGTAATAGAAAAGAAACAAAAAAATCCTAAGGATGCATTGTTATCATTTTATCCTAACAATACCTTGTAAGGTAAATATTACTACCACTAACCCATTTTTGGTTGTTGTTATTTGTTGTTTCAGTTGTATCCATCTCTCCTGTGACCCTATTTGGGGTTTTCTTGGCAAAGATACTGGAGTGGTTTGCTATTTCCTTTTTCAGCTCATTTTTTACAGATGAGGAAACTGAGGCTAACAGGGTTAAGTGACTTGCCCAGAGTCACAGAGCTAGTAGTATCTGAAGCTGGATTTGAACTCAGGTCCTCCTGACTCTAGGGCCTGTACTATATCCACTGTGCCACCTAGTTGCCCCAAAAAGATAAACTAGAGTGGTTTGTCATTTCCTTCTCCAGTTCATTTTACAAATGAGGAAACTGAGGCAAACAGGGTTAAATGACTTGCACAGGGTCACAAAGGTAGTATGTGTCCGAGGTTGGATTTGAACTCAGGTCCTTCTTATTCCAGGGCTGATTAACCACTGTGCCGCTTAGCTGTATCCCCCCCCCCCATGAGTAAACTGAGTTTTGTTGAGGTTAAGTGACTTTCTGGATCACTCAACACAGCTAATAAGCAAGCGCCAAAAAACTAGATTTAATCCTGACTTCCCTGACTCCAATCTTTTTCATTGTTAACTTAATGATCAACAAAAACAAGTATTCCAACTTCTGAAAAAGAATAAAACAATAAGATTGTATAAAGGAACTGTGAACTTGTGACTTAGTAATGTTGGGCCCCTGCTTCTGTGTGAATGAGTCTCTTTGTCTCATCAGCTGGTTTGTTAAAGCAGACCAGGTCCTTCCGAAAATTGTCAACATCACCCATTATTTAGTGACCAAAGACAGACTAGCTCTCTGTATGGTCCATAACTGTGCTTTCCAAGGTTAGAGGGCTGTTTACTTGGAATTACAAGTGTGAATAAGACCATATTTACTGTTCCTTAACTCAGTTTTTGGTGATGAAGAAGGCTGATAAACAGAACTTGCTAGATTTTCTTCACCTTGTTTGACAGACCTAGTTCCTTTTTTATTGTATTCTGTACCATCATAATTCTTTTACTATAAATAGGGAGTCAGGGAGTGAGAGAGTTGCCCATGACTTGTTGTTGGGTGAAATTCCAGTGAAGCTGTTAATAACTGTGAGAAAGAAGTCTACTGTGTCAACAACACCTGTCTGGGTGTTTGGAAATGTTTGGTGGCAGCGGGGGGAGAGGGGGGAATAGCTGTTATTGGTTGGTTGGTTTTTAATGGAAATAGCAGTTGCTTGATGTGTTCAGACAGGAATGACCCTCCCTGAGTTGAGGTCTCATTCCAAGAACAATTCTACTCTCCTCTCATTTTAATTCACTGCCCTTATCTCTTTCCCTCTGTCCAATATGATGAGGGAGTCTAGAGGAGTACGAGAATCCCTAAAAAGCAGAAAATGGCCTGGGTGATGTTACCCAAGGATGGTATTTTCATTTAAAAAGGAGAGCAAAAATTGGGGAAAGTGATCATTAAAATAGTAAATGGAGACTTCCTCAGCACAATAGCTTTTGGAATAGATGATTTATCATGGTACCTTTTGAACAGAGTTGAATAACAATCTGACATCAAATACCACTTGCTAGACACTTCTTAGTTTAAATCCTTTGGGATTCCTTTGTCTGCATAAAGATAGATTTCTTTGTTTAAAGGTCCATATTTGTATTAGCAACATGTGCTAGATGCTGACTCAGGTTTATCCTAGTTTTAAAATTCTCCGTGTATAGTGTTTCTACCTGCTTCCTCTCTGAAGTGACCAAGTAGACTAGACAATCTCTTCAAGCCCGTTCCAGCTCTGAGGTGCTGTCCAGGAGTGTTCATCCTGTTAATAGGAATTCCCTCTCACTGTAGAGAGTTAGTTCCATATTGTAACCTTTAACCACTCTATATCATCTAATCTGCCACATAGGAGCCAATGGCTCTTAATCACTGCCTCTGGTTTTAATGCAGGGTGAGGAAGCCATACTGGGGACTTGATTTTGGAGCTACCATGCCTACCCACAATATAGTGGGAATGAATTTTTTTTATTACATAACCAAAACTCAGAGTGACATTGGGGTTCCTTGTATGTAGAAAATTCCTCCCGAAAATTCTGGCTTCTGGTACAATGACCCTTAAGCAATAATAATGGAGTAGTTCAGAGATGTGTGTGTGTATATGTGTTGTTCTGATGAATGACCCCAGTGGAAATAATCTGGGGTGAAAGAATATAAAGATTGATTTTCCAGATGGAGAATTAGTATAGTGTTCTACCAAGGACTGGCACCCATTCAAAAATGTCTAGGGACTGACAATTGACAATAGCTGAAAGAAAAGAGAACTATTAAAAAAACACACATTTTAAAGAATAAATTTGGAGTATGAGAGAGAAACAATAAACGTGGGTTTTTGGCCCAAGTGTTTCTTTAGTGGAGAAGGATAACCACATTTTTAGAGTTAAATAGGGTGGTCCTGGTTTGGGGGGGAAGGGGAAAGTGAGTCCATAGTCTGTCATAAGCAGATTTTCACAGGGTCAATCACTGAATGTCAGAAATAGTTTTCAGAAATCTCTAACCGATTCTTGCCCTTAAGCTCTCACATCCCATTTTCTAAGCTGCTCATTCTATCTCCTCCAGGGACTTTAGTGCTCCACCATCTCTCCCTTCTCTGGATCTGTGGGAAGCAGCCAGAATACAGTGATGGTGCACACAGCTCTCCTGCTTTAGAGTGGAATCTTCTTCCAACTCACTTGTCAGGCACTCTGGGAAAGGGCAACAGCAGCAGGAACACATTCTCACACTCAATCAGTTAAGATTTCTCAACTTTGATCCGAGGGGAGGGCTCCTGTAAAGAAACATATTTCATCCTTATTTATGTATTTACTCATTAATTCACTTATTTACTCATTCATTAATTTCGTCCTAATTTGTTTGCTCATTCATCAATTCACCCGTTTATTTATTTCATTAAAAAAAAAAACTTTGAGTTCCAAATTCTCTTCCTCCTTTCAGCCCCTCTCCCACCCATTGAGAAGGCAAGCAATATGATCGGTTATTTATGTAAAGTCATGCAAAACATAATTTCATATTAGCCACGTAGCCCCAAAACAACAAGAACAAGAAAAATAAAGTGGGGGACAAAAGTGTGGCATATCTTATCCTTCAGCAGACTGAACTCCTGCCTCATCTGTTCAGGACTTTCTCTACTATGCCATAGAAACCTCTTTACTCTGGAAGCTCACTGTACCCCTTGGACCACTTCTCACATTGGAAGTACCCTCTAGTCCTGTGTCTTTTCCCTCCCATTGGCTGGTTCCTCCCAGAACCTCCATCTTGAGGAGGAGACCCTGGCCAGCCACAGTTTCATTCTTGTCCAGACAGTACTCCTGATTCATCTCTAGAAGACTCTCTCTAACATGCCCCCTAACTTCGTACTCCACCACAATTTTGGCTCTTCTCCCTTTAGAGTGTTAGCTCCTTGAGGGCAGGGACTATATTTTTGGGCCCTTAGCCCAGTGCCTGGCACATAGTATCTGCTTAATAAATGCTTTTACTTTTTATTTTATTTTATTTTGGTGAGGCAATTGGGGTTAAATGACTTGTTTAGGGTCACACAGTTGGTGTCAAGTGTCTGAGGACAAATTTGAACTCAGACCACCGGCCCTGGAGTCAGGAGAACCTATCTACTACACCACCTAGCTGCCCCTTAAAAATGCTTCTTGACTTGAGTCAGCTCAATTCTGCAAAGCCCAGGATGTGTTCAGGTTTTCCCTTGGAGTTTAGTGGGGGAACATGTTCTTAAGGAAGTTTACTGCAGATATCAGAAAGGTATGTATGTGCATGCACCAAGCTTTCCTACAGTGCTACTACATGCTACAGAAGGCAGTGTAGTCTAATGGCTAGGGTACAGACTTCAAGTCAGGAAAACCTGGGTTTAAACTGCACCTCAGATTCTCATTGGATAGACCTAAGTGAGTCAATTAATGTTTGAACCTCATTTTCTTAATCCATAAAAAAATAGTATTATAGTATGTTTGTGTATATATATGCATATACTGTAGTATATATGGTATAGTATTATATTTAAAATCCCCCAGGGTAGTTGGGTGGATCAGATAAGAAAATGCATATAAAACAGGAAAGATTTGCAAAATACCAGATCAAAGTTATTATCATCTCACTTTGCTGTAAAAGAATCATGTCCACAGAAGGACAACCTGGCAAACAAGAAGGCCACATTACGGAGGTGATTTATTTGCCTGTATTGACATCAGAACTTGATCATGATTTTCTTTTTCTTGGAGTACACTTTGGTAGCCAGGTCTGTGACCCACAGAGCTCTCTCATTCCAAGTTTTTCTTTTTTTTTTCTTTCCTCATGTAGGTAAAAGCCACAGGAAGAGAGCTTTTCCAGCAGGTGTGTGACTTGTTAAGCATTAAAGAACCCCACTTCTTTGGCCTGAGTGTTGTTCGAAGTAAGTATTGATGCATGCATGAAAGGCAGGGCTCCCTTCCTCCCCCTTCAGCGTTTGTACAGCTGTGATCCCACCGGGCCCTTTACATGCCTGTATTATCTACAGTGTCCCATGCTTATGCCTGTAAGCAGTAAGGGTGCATTCAGGGCAGTACCCGAACTGCAGAATCAATACAGTCAACGTGTTTTGGGGTCCCAGCTTCTGACCACCACCCTTGAATGGCTGTGTTTATAACCATCAAGATACATTGTGGTGATAACCCTGTGCTGTCTGGGTGCATTCTCCAATTCTTATTCCTTTTGAGTAAAACAAAGAGCAGGAATTCCCATCTTAGTTGAGCTAAGATTCTCTGAGCTCTCATTTTGTAGGGCTGTCACAAAACTATGCTAGACCAATCTGATTTAGGATTACTCCCCCTTCAAGCATTTTACTCTCCATCCAAATCAGCCAACTTAACTTACTATTCCCCTTATACTATTCTAATTCCCTCTTTTGTGTCTTTGCATGGCATTTGTCATGCATCATGTCTGGGATGTTCTCATCATCCCAGGATATTCTCCAACTTTTCCTACTTCTTGGAAACTCCATTTATTAGTCATCAGTGCCTCACCCTGTAATAATTTTTATTGATTTTTGTATCTAACCTGTCTTAACTTATCCATACATATGTGGCTCCCTCCACAAATAGAATATAAATTCCATGAGGGTAGGTACTGTCTCTAATTTGTAATTGTATCCCAGCATCTAGTATGGTGACTGGCACATAGTAATTGCTTTTGACTTTGTAATATCATTGATACATGGCTGTTTATGGTATCTGCCGTGTCAGGTACCATCCCATTAAGGGTTCCTGGACCAAAATTATACATCATTTGACATTCAGCTTTTGTGGCATGATCCTCTCTTCGCATCTAGGCTGGTCTTCCATTGACCCAACAGTCTGTTGTCAAGTACATGCTTGTAGAGACTGACTTGTCTTCCCCAGGTAGAGCCTTTGAGAACCCAGGCTCTTAGAGGCAAGGTGACCAGGTGTTAGTCATTCTTAGTGGAGGTGAAAATACTTCTATAGTTTACTATTTGAAGGAAACCTTTCTAGTGATCCATATATTTATGGAAGACTCAAAATCACAGAATTTGAAAGCTGAAGGACTCTTAGTGGTGTCTAGCCTTTATTAAATAGTATCTACCCGCTATAACAGGACGTGTGATCATCCAGTCTCTGCCTGAAGACTTCCAGGGAAGGGAGCTCACTCTCAGGGCAGCCACATTTCAACATTTCTGCATGTTAGGACGATAAGTTTGTTGAAAGTGTGGCATTGTGGAGGCAACTTGGAACTTGAAGGTTCAAATCCCGCCTTAGATACAACATGCATTATGATCATGGGCAAATCTTTTAGTCTATCACAGCCTCTATTTCTTTGTGTAGAATGGGCATAAAGAATATTTACTCTACCTATCTCACAGGATTATTGTGAGGAAGGATCTTTGCAAATGTTAAAGCACTAGCTATATTACATGTGAGTTGTTAGTATTGAACCTGCCTGTCTCTGATAATTTCCTGTGTTGTATGAGAAGGGCAGTAAGAAGAAAAATCTCAACATGCTTTATTAAGAGCATGAGACAGGGAGTCTAAGCCTGTCTCTGTCATCAACTATCTATATGGTCTTACCCACTCTTGGCCTCAGGTTTCCTCCTCTGTGAAATGATCAACATTAATTAATCATCTGTTTTTGAACCATATCTTAGTGTGGATTTTCATTGCTTTTTAGCATACCATTAGTGGTTCTAGATGGGCCATCTAATGACATATCTGCTGCTTTGTCCAGTGACATTTAACTTGTTAAGTTTTAAAAGATAACCCATTCTGAAGTTTTGCTTTCGTGTAAAAGAATTCAGTCCTTAAAAAACAACTAAGCCCTCCCTTCTTTCCTTTGCTGAATGATTCTTTAGGAAGTTGGAAGCTATTTTCTCAGGTATAATTTTATTTTTTTCTCTCTGAGTGTAAAAAGTGTAATCTATTTGAAGGTGTGATGGTGGGGAGGAGGGGATACATAAAAAACCAAACAAACCAGAAATCTTGATAACTAATTCACTTAGTGAATCTCACTCCAGTGTTACCATTATATGACTTTACTCTTTCTGCATAGCTGGGTAGTGAACCATGCAAGCTAAAACCTATACTGGTTCTAGGTAGTTTTGAATCTTATTGATCAAAGAGATATCGGGAGTTGTTTTGCCCCATGGTTCCTTTTAAACTAATTATATTAAGGGCAGAAACTTCCCCAACAAATCTCTCTCTCTCTCTTTCTCTTTCTCTCTCTCTCTCTCTCTCCCCCTCTCTCCCCACCTTTCCCTGTTTCCATTAACTTACCTCCCTTATCTCATTGCCCATCAATCTTCTATGTCAACCACCATATTCCCTTCACTTTATTGATTTGTGACCTGACTAGGCTACCTTGTATTTGTTAGAGACTAAGACAGTAGTGGCCCCCTAGGGTGTACATGATGTGTGGTTTCTGAAAGGCCATGAAAGGGAATGAGAAGGATAGACTATTTGCTGGAGACAGTGAGGGCAGTTCCCATCAAAGATTAACCTTGTGCATGTTTTTGTGGTGGTCTTTTTTTTTTTTATCCTAATCTCAGCCACAAAAAATGAAGAAATACCTGAAAGGTCTTTCAAAGACACTAGGCTTTGCTGTAATGACCTGCAAGTGAACAATTCTTTGCAGGTGGCCCAAGGGTTTAGCCCTTGATCTTCAAGATCATTTCTCTTAATGGAAATTGAGTCATATTAGGAGGGGAGAAAGGTTGCCACATTCTTGTTGTACCTGTTCTCTAGATAAACAGAATTTTCCAGGGTTTTTATGCAGTTTGATTTTTAATAAGTATACAATTCACCAAAGGGGTGTTTGCTCTGGGGAGTTTGTTTTTCACCTTTTCAGTGATGACATTCACCACAAAGCCAATGTGACTGGTGACGAATTTGGGAAAAACAAATTTTTGATGAGAGGGGAGGGAAAAAAAGCTAAGCTGCATCATCTTCTGACAGGTCATAGAATGCAAACTGGTGGTACCACTTTCTTTTGACATTTGATGATCTGAGAATGTACAGTGTTGGCCTTAAAAAAAAAACAATTAAAAAAAAACAGGAGTAGACTTAAGAATACTATGTGCCTTTGTGTCTCAGGCCATGGACTCTTAGTGAATGCAGGCTGCACGTATGAGTATGGCTATTTTGCCAAGAGATTTGTGTTGTGGAACAACTGCATTAATTAATCAAATTTATTGAGCACTTAAAGCAAGTCGCCATACTGGTTTCTGAGGAGAATACTGAAAAATCCAAGATGTTGTCCTTGTTAATAAGATTTTTATTTAGAAGGGACCTTGGAGGTTTTATCTAGTTCAACTCCCTCATTATACAGAAGAGGAAACCGAGGCACAGAGAAGTTAAGAAACTAGCGCAAGGTCATTCTAGGATGTTCTCAAGGAGCCTACAGTATCATTGTGCAGAAACATATCCATACCCGTATTGTGGAAATGGCACTGTACTTACAACATCTGAGTAGATATTTCCTAGGTGTATGACCACTGACAAGTCATTGAATTTTTCTGAACCTTAGTTCCTTCATCTATAAAATGGGGATAATTATACACTACCTAGCTTAAAGAGTAGTTGTAAGAAAAGTGCTTTAAAAAAAAACTTTCAGAAAGTGTTTCTAGAAGAAAGCCTGGCCTTAAAATGTTTTGGAATCTTATAGGAGGAAGAGGAGGTGGATCCTAAATCCTTTATGGGTTCCTGAGCCCAGGAAATGAGGTTGAAGCACCAAGTGGCAGAGGAGAGCCGTTTTGAGCTTCATGGAAAGGAATCAGTCTGTTGGCAGTGGCTGTGGGATTCAGACTTAATCTCTAGGAAGCCTACTGATTCCCCCAATTCTTGGTCTCTTCCCTGATCGGTTCTACTAGCTTTACATCTGTGTGCCTATTGTATTCCCACCCCCACCACGTCCCTGGGCAGCGACTAGTTTTGTTTTTGTAGACTCAGTCCCTTGCACACAGTAGTGGAGAACTTTTCATTATACAGCTCCCCAGCAGACAAAGGACTTGCAGTTTCAAAGGCAGGCAGACTGAGAGAGAAAAGCTGGTCCTAGGGGGACAGGACTAAATTTTCCATTATAGGTTAATTGGATCCTACTAGGCTTCAAGCCTATAAAGTCAGTGTTTCATTATGTGGCTCTCGGACATGACATAGCTGACTTTGCCATGGCCGTGGCACCTTTGCTATTGAAGTCGCCTGTTCTTTCAGATGATCATTTTGGGCAATCAGCTGATTAAGTTTTGACTTGCATGGCTCAATACCCAGCTATGCAGAAAGGGGAGAAAGCCCACGTAGGCAGGCATACACTGAATATATGCAAAGTAAATACAAGATAGTTTTTCAGGGGAGAGCATAGTAGCAGCTAGGGAAATCAGGAAAAGTTTCACTTGGGAGATGGCGCTTCAGCTGTTTCTTAAAGAAGCCAGAGCTTCCCAAGTGACAAAGATGAGGAGGGAAGAGCATTCCAGACCTGGGGTTTAGCCATTCTAAAGATAACCTTCCTTGAAAAGGAGGGATGGATCGAAGAAGGGATGGAGAGAGTGATCACCTCATACTCCTTTGTAAAGGTAGCTGTTGACTTTGTTCAGCACTGAAAACAGGCAAACATACCTGACAGCATTAGGAGGGGTGGGAGTTAGGCCAGAAGAGCATACAAAGGGGGATTGTTAGGTTTATCAGCAGCTGATATTTTCTTAAAGAAGGTGTGTTTGCTCTGCAAAGGAAGTTCCCAGGTGGGAGGATTTTCGTATTAGTGCCAGCCAGTCAGTTAATGCCACCTCCTCCTACATGGAGGACATGTGAGATTCCATGTGGTGCTTCCCAGCCCTCTGAGCTCTGCTTAACAATGAGGGAAAGCAGGTTATTCCTCTTTAGGAAAAGTTAGCCTGGCTGTCCACCTACACTCTATCTAGGACTATCTCTCTTCTTCAAAAGGAAGAGGCAAGATCAGCCAAGAGAACCTATGGAATGTGCTGGATTTCCTGGCTCCTAATACCTTTCCTATTACTGCAGAAACTAAGGTCCAACAGGCCAGAAAACCAACTTTAGCCAGTTGAGTTTAATTTAATAGGGAAAAGCTATCTAGCTCCTTACTGGGTTGAGTTAGGTAGAGCATATCAAAATAGGAAATTAAAGGCCTTAAACTTTAAATAGTTAACTCCCTGGCACTCATAAATTCATTTTGATTGATTTGATTAAGTGATCTTTTAAAAAGAGAAAAAGAAAATGTCAGAGTTGGAACAGATCTTAGGCTTTATGCTTTATAAATAGGAGTACCACTTTGTCCCAGTGTCTTGTTTTCTGGGTCTCGTATTTCTTATATATATAAATATTACATCTTGTCCCATATCACACCGATTAGTTTGTGACTGAGTTAGTCTTGTTGTTACATCTCATATCTCACATTTACATAATATTTTTGTATTATTTACATAATGCTTTTAACAAGGATTAGACTGGGATCTCTGGTCTTCCCAAAGAGTAATGAAATTCCAGTTTTGTACAAGTTTTCAGGGATGCTATCTATTGCCAAAGGCCTCAGAACACTACCTTTGTATGGCATGAGGCGTTTGTGATAGATAAGGTCAATCAAACCAAACTTGCGAGACTTTCAGAAAGATATTTTTACTACCTCAGGTCCTTGGTGTTCTAAGACCCTGCCTAGGCAGAGGTGAATTAGATCAATATCACCACCAGTTTCCTTTTTCTACCCCTGCTTTATTGCCCTTCCTGTATTCTTTTCCTTTTCCTCTTCTTTATCAAAGCCTGATATAAGAATAAGCTCTCAGTTATTCCTGCTAATATATAGCTGCAAAAACCTTTGATACCTTTCCCGGAAGGGATGTTTACGTTTAAAGGAGGTATAAACCCTTAACTCCACCCCGCCCCCTAAAAAAAGTAAAAAAGGAGGCATTTATATCTCATTTTACAGTTTACAAAGTTCTTTTATCTCATTTTATCCTCATAGCAATCCTGGGAAGTAGGTGCTGTTATTATCCCCATTTTACAGATGGGGAAACTGAGGCAGATAGCGATTTAATGATTTGCCCATTTGTCTAGTAAGGAATGAATCCCTTGTCTTTTATTTTGGTCATCAGCAATTTTTCGAGGATGAGATGTAATTAGAGACAAGATCTTCTTAGAACTCTTGAAATCATATCACTGTAAAGGATTGAAATACTTTTCTGCATTACATACTTGATTCTGTCAAATCTCTTTTGATTCAACTGTAAGATGAGGGGATTAGAATTGGACTAGATACTTAGTCCCTAGGTCATCTGTACTTCTAAAATTCTACAATTATGACTCTGTGAACTGGTCTTCTGCAACCTGGAAAAGGATACAACAAATGCTTGAGGGATAAAACTAATCATCATATATAAGGTGGAGGTCATATTTATGACAGTGACTCTTTTCTGTAGTGTTTTATAAAGTATCTTTTATATAACAATCCTAAGAGGGAAAGATCGAAAAAATTATCCCCACTTCACAAGGGAAACTGAGTCGCTGTGACATGGAATGACTTACCCATTCTATAAGGGTCAAAACTAGAACTCAAAACCAGGTCATAGAAACATAGAAAAAAAACTTCATTTTATAGATAAGGAAACTGTGTCACAGATTGGTTAAATGAGTTGTCTAAGATCACCCAGGTAAGTGGCATCTGACTCCAGATCCATCTGTCTGTTGTATCTTACTTCTAAGACCAATGCTTTATCCATGCTGCTCCTCAGTCATATCCGAGAGTTCTTAACTATTGAAATATCATTGGTTTCCTTTGTAGTATTATGTGTTTTATTTTATGCATTTGAAGACTTTCTGAGGAGTCCATAGGCTTCAGCATACTGCCAGAGTAGTCCAGAACACTTGAATATAAAAGATCTGCATCCTCTTCCCCTTTATCCCTTTACTGTGAGGAGACAGGTTGAGGCCCACAGTGTCACTGCCAATGTTGGACAAAGGTCTTTCAATTCCACTTATCATATCAAGCTGTCATCTGTTCTTCCCCTCAGTCCCGCCCTCCATCATGACCACTGTTGTACACTCTTCATCCTTTCCAGTTACTTGCACCCCTGTAGAGTCCACTCAGCTTTCAGCGTGCAATCCAAGACGAGGCCATAATGGCTACATGGAGTAGTTGTTCCAGGTCTCCCAGTGTCTATGGCTTGTCATGTCAGGTGTTGACCCCTATTGACCCAGCAGCTATAATCAATGAGGCATGTAGGCAGTGTGAGAGCATGATGCCTGCCTGCCAGTGGGGGTGGACAGGGACATGGGCTGGGTAATGGCGACCCTGGAGTTTATTGACTACCTCTTGAACTTTGGAGAAACACAGATAGTTGACTCAGTTTGGAGGTTACTTTGATCTTTTGACAGAAATATTTTGCTTTTGAAGCAAGACATTCTTTCTAATTCTGGAAATAATAATATGTCCACTTTCCTTTAGGCCTCATCACTTTTATTAAAATGAGTCCAGAATTCACCTGAGATAAGGGAACTACCTGAAATCTCTCAGCTTGCCAGTAAAAAATACCTGGGGGGAGGTGAAATGGGATTCTTTATTTTTATAGGCTTGAGGGATTTCACAGCAGGCTGGCATTCCAATAATATTAATTTCATTAAAGCTGGAATGTGGGGCTACATTCCTCCCCGAGAAGCTTGGGGCATGTATGTGGGTGGGTGGATTGGTGCAGGAAGGCTCCTTACCCAGCAGCTGAACTGAAAATGGGAAGGCCAGAGCTGTGAAAGAAGCATTCAGGCATTCTCTGACCAATTAAGTGAAGTTGGTCCTGCCTGATGGTCCAGGGCCTTCAAACTGGAGAGAGTCTTCCCACACAGCCCCTACTTGAGTTCTCCAGGCAGCTCAGTCAGTGTTCTTTTGTTTTGTTTTGTTTTCCCAATTCTCCACTACAGTGGAGAAAAAACATTGGCAGATAATGAGTTGAATTTGCATTTTCACTCCTTCAAGGATGCCTTTGAGAGCCTGCCTTCTTAGGATGCTTGTTTCTGCCCACTATTCAAGTCTTTTTTTTTCCCCCAAGCCTTGTTACTGTATATGCCCTCTTTCACAAGGAAGGAGCTGACAGGAAAACACAGCTTGATTTTCCTGGGGCTAATTATTAGAATACAGACAGTTCCATACTTCTGAGGCCTGAGACTGTTCTTGGGCATTGTTTCTGAAGAAGTTGGAAAGCAAACTTCAAAACAGTCGTGACTGACTGTATTACAAATTTCTTTCCTCTCCTGTGACTTAGAATCATAGACATTAAAGACCATTATAGATGAGAACTAAGGCCCACAGAATGGCCTGCCCAAGGTCATATAGATTTGATGCCTTGAGCAGACTCCTAGAAGGTATGGCATTTCATCAATAATTTTTTATGAATTTTCTGTCTTTTAACCTTTAACATCCTTCAAGCAGAAGGGGGGGGAAGAGTAGGAGAAGGATGGAGGTTATAGGGAAAACAGTATGGGAACAGGGGAAAGAGAAGAAATCATTCCTCGTGTGCCTAATTTTGTGGAAAGAATAGGGAAGAAAAAAATGGTCATCAGTAGCAGTCAGACTTGCTACTGAGATAACTCACTAAATGGTCGCCCTACTGATAGAAGGAATGTGCATTATTAGAGCCTGGTCTCACTTTGGTTTAGATAACATCAATAACATCATATATGTGTATGTATGTATGTATACACACACACGTATGTATGTAGGTATGAATATGCCATTGAGAGGTTGAGGGATACACCTTTGTAAAATTAAAGCACTTTATAGGTAAATGTGAGGAAAAACTGTTATAATCATACAAGGGTTTTTGCGTTCATATTATTCAGGTTGGTCCACTTATGGATGGGTCATCTTACATAGCATTGTAGATATTTTGAAATGAGTCACTTTGTGGTCATAAGAGTCAAGAATCAGAATTTTAGAACTGGATGGGAACTTTGACGTGATCCAGTCCACCCCTTTTCTGTTACAGATGAGAAACAGACTCAGAAGAGGTCCTGTGATTTGCTAGTGGTCTACATAGTGACCAGTACTCTACACAGTGGTCAGTGGCGAAACTCAAATCATCTTTCTTATATGAGCACTGTTTTTAATCTGAGTCTTAAAAACCATTAAAAAAAAAAGTTTAAAAAATGGAGACAGTATTAACATTACTTTCCCCACTTCAGGGACATTTTGGTAAGAGTTTATGGTCATCACCCCTGGCTGACTTTGGATCTGTGACATTTTCTTATTTGGGGCATTCCCCCTACTGACATAGATATAGTTCCTGAGCCCTCCATACCAGCCAGACCTTCCAGCTGTTGTCTTTAGTTTTTGTCATATGACCAGCTCACCTCCATTTCCCATATTTATTTTAATGCTTCCTGAGGGCGAGTCTAATACTGCCTACAACCAGTAGGTGCTTTGCCATTTGGTCGTTTTACTTACTGGTAATTTTGCTTCTACCAAAGTTGTGGCTTTCTCACAATTGGTAAGTCAGCATCCACAAAAGAGTATTGGTGTAAAAAAATACGAGGTATTGGGCAATTTAAGATATTTGAAGGCATTACATGATTTTCCCTAATGTCATCCATCCTGATCTCTTGAACGTAGCTCATTGTTTATCTGCAATATCTGTTCAAGATATATGTATGTATGTTTCTGTAGGGGGATGGGGCTGGGGGGAGCAGGCTACCTACTGGGCTACTTATCCAGCTGCATATCATAGTTTGGGGAGTACGTGTTTCCCATTCTTTTTTTTTTCCAGTGTGGATAGTTAGACCTCTCCAACCAATTCTATAATAATCATGTTCTTATTCAGCTCTACAGTGAAAGTTCCCAACAGCCACAGTATACCAGGAGATGCTTTGATAGCACTGACAACTGTTTTTGTTAACTTTGCAGACAATGAATATATATTCATGGACCTAGACCAAAAGCTCAGCAAATACTTTCTGAAGGACTGGAAGAAAGAGATATATAAAGTAAGTTCAAGGTGACTAGAACTTGGGAACCAAAAGGTTCAGGTAGAACCCAGGAATAAGCTATTTGGCAGAAAGTTTGAGATATCTAGGTCTTTTTGGGGGAATCATCCAATAAGCATTTATTAAGCACGAATTATGTGCTAGGTACTCTCCTATGTGTTAGGGGCACAGAGACCAAACAACAGCAGAAGCCCAGTTCCTGCTTTCAAGGAGTTAAAATAAGAATATGTAAAATATATACAGGGTAATTTCTGGGGGAGCCACTAGGAGCTGGCGAATGTTGAGAAAGTTGTTTTCTCAGGGGGTAGCTTAAATTTTAGCCAATATTATATTGTGGGTAGCTAGGTGGTACAGTGGATAGAGTGCTGGGCCTGGAGTTGGGAAGATTCATCTCCCTGACATCAAATCTGGCTTCAGACACTTACTAACTGTGTGACCCTAGGCAAGTCACTTAACCCTGTTTGCCTTACTTTCTTCATCTGTCAAATGAACTAGAGAAGGAAATAGCAAACCATTCCAATTCCACTATCTCTGCCAAGAAAACCCCAAAAGGGGTCACAAAGAGTCAGACAGAATTGAAAACAACTGAACAACAAATAACATCACATTGTGCCAACTCAGAAGACCTAACTACTTAAATTCCTACACTGCTTCCATAGTCACATCTGTAGTTCTGGCTACGTGTGCAATCAGCAAGTATTCATTATGAACTTGCTGTGTGGGGGGGCATATCTAAGTTTAAATGATTCCACATTTTATAATTATTTTTGCCATTCAGTTTGCCATGGATTTTAAAAAATTTTTGGTGATTATTTTATGATACATGTGTTTGTGTGTGTGTGAAAGAGAGGGAGAGAGGGAGGGAGGGAGATCTGTTTAAGTAAAAAAAAATTGACTTTAGGTTTAAGAGAAGGGAAGCAAACTAGTTGGGACAATGGTTTAGGCAAAGTATAAGAGCACAAATAAATTCACAGAAAATGGAAAGGGTGGGAGGAGTGTGGTGTTGGGATGCTGATATCCAGAGCATGAAAGTTATTGGGTTAATTCATTTGTATTTCTTTTCTATTAACCATCCTTACAGGGAAATGAGAAGTCCAACCCTCCTTTTGTTGCCTTCTTCAGAGTACAATACTATGTGGAAAATGGGAGAATTATAAGGTACTTATTATTTATATACTCATTTTTATTGGTTTATTTTAACATTCTTTTTAATTTTGAGAAAGCAAATAATAGGATACCCATTTATGTATTCATTTTAAAGGACTTTAGAGTAAGAATGAGAGGCTGGGATTCTATGGAGGTGAAGTGGAAGATGTTCATGTATCTTTAAAATTGGAGTTTACTCTGAAGAGGAGAAAATATTTCATTTGGTTACTGGGTTTTGGTGCCATTCAGTTTCATTTAACTGGAATTTGATGGTGCTTGATTAATACATAACTAAGCCTCAAGACCTAAGTAAACTTAATATGTATTTCAATTTTGTTTTAAAAACAAAAAAACAAAAAAACAAAAAACACACCTTAGTGTTGTTGGGTGGAAGTGATTTTTTTTTTTGTCCCCTCCAAAGCTGCACTGTGTGTTCTCTGCATAGCTGCTCATGGCCACAGACATTTGCCTTTGGCTCCTCCCCTGTGAAGAGTCAGGGTTGGGAAGGCTTAGCCTGAAGGGATTATACATTTGAGTGGGTTCCATTCACATGGAATAGGGATAGCATTCTAGCTGAACCTCCTCCCAGTTTCTTCCTAGTGGAACAAAAGGGCTTTTTTAGTGCTATCATCCAGGGCATTCTGTGAATATCATCCAAAAGCTGGAAGCATTTTGGTGAGTTTAAAACAAGCCAGACCTACCACCCCCACCCACTCCCTTTCTCCTGTCCTGGTGAAGCTGCCCTTGGGTGGTTTCTCCTCCCACTTCAAACCTTTCCGACCAGGAAGAGGACCATTAAAGACAAACAGCAACAACATCCTAGAAAGCCATGGTTGGAAAACTTTTAAAAGTGGCCAGCTGTGGTTCTAACCCCTCCTCCTCTGGTGTGACAAGAAGATGGGACAAAGGAAAAAAAACTAGCATGATTCTGAGGTACCCTCAATTCAGTGCAGCAAAATCTTTCTCAGGTGTCTGCCATGAGCAGACACCTTTGCCAGGAATGTAGAAATGGACCGTAGTAAACCCTCCCTTCTGATGGAGCTTACAATTGAATACAAGGAATAAATCGTATTCTCAAAGAGAATATAATTTGTAATATGGCAGCTGCAGAGGAAAGGTACAAATTTAGGAGGAAATTGGAGAGGGAGGTGATCACTTTCAGCTTGGGGAAAGGGGAAGGCCTGTGCTAATGGGTCCTTACATGGATGATAAGGATGGACAGAGGAAAGATGGCCTGTATGAATGCACCCAGTTATCAGAACAAGTTGAGGAATAACTCGTTCTTCTAGTTTGTCTAGAACATAGAGTTGGTTAATAAATTAGTGTGAAGTAAGATAGGAAAGGTAGGTTGGAGGGACATATCGTGGAGAACTTTGAGTTTGAATACACCAGACTTTTGGCTTTCCAGAGGGGTTTGGAGAGTAGGGTGGCTGCTCTAAAACTAAGAGGGGAATAGGACGACAGGTGGCTACTTACCCTGAATGCTATTTAAAATCAGCCCACTTGCCACCTTTAGCAGTAAGCTGCCACCCTCAAATCTAAAGTACAGTGGCAATGGTCCTCAAGAGGCAAAAGTTATGAAGCATATTCTGACCTATATGGACACCTCTTAATTACAAGAGACTAGAAGTTAAACCAGTCAGTCAATATGTCCATTTATTAAGTGTCTGCTGGGTGCTGGTGCCATGGTCAGAATGCAAGGGATAGAGAAGCAGAGGCAAGGAGTAGGCATAAGTTGGGGATTTTTTTGTTTGTTTTTGTTTTGTCTTTTCACTTAGGAATTTGGAAGGAGAAACCTAGGAGAGAATCATGATAACTTGAAGGGATAATAAGGTTCAAAGGTTCTTTTAAGGATAGGGAGGAATTGAACTCATTTATTGTCAGCAAGTAAGTAACTATTAGATAGTGAGGAATTTAAGATTAGGGAGAGTAGAGTGGCTGATTGGTTAAAGGAAAACTAAGACTTAACCTGGTGGACCAGAAACTAACTAGTCACGTGAACAAATTCCAAAGGGCATTAGGAAAAGCCACTGTATGCAGGCTTCTCCCAAAAGGGTGTTTTCTGTGGGACCTTTGGGCGAGAGGAGGAGGGGACCTTAATAGAGTTAGATCACTGGGTTCGGATTCGAGAGGTCCAAGTTTGAATCCCAGGTCCACTCCTTAGTTGTGTGACCTCAGACAAGAGCCTGCACATGATATTTAAATTTTTGTTGTTATTTTGTTCTTACTAACAGTATTGGCTGGGTCTCAGAATGTACAAAATAGATACAAAGTAATTGGGTCAGAGGAGGCATGAGCACCTGTGGGGCCGAAAAAGACTTCATGGAGATAATGTTTAAGCCGAATTTTGAAGGAAACTATGCAGAAGTGCGGGGGGGGGAAGCATCCTTAGTGTGGGGAATAGAACAGTCAGTGCAGAGGCATGGAGGCAGTAAATGGCATGGCATGTGTGAGGAACAGCTGAACTCAACAGTATATACAAAGCGGAGTAAGGTGAAAGAAAGCTACAAAGACAGGTTGGAGCTAAGTTGTGAACAAGCTTCGAATGCCAAAATAAAAGTTTATATTCACTTCTAGAGATAACAGAGGCAGAGCAGGAGCATGACATGGTCAATCAAACTGTGCTTAAGAAAAATCACTTGAGTAACCATCTGGAGGATAGATTAAAGAGGAGAGAGACTTGTGTTAGAGAGGCCATTGCAGGTGTCTAAATGAGAGGTGGCATGAGTCAGTGTGTTGGCCATGTAAATAGAAGGAGGGGGAAGGCTAGCAAGAGATGAGATGCAGGCTGCATCCGTGAGAATTGGCAGCCATGACTGCACATCCTGGGTGAGGGGGATTGTGAACCTAAGTGACTAGAAGGCCAGTGATAGGGAAATTATAAACATGAGCTATTATAGTTGTTATAATTTTATTATGATGATTATGCAATTTGTAATAATCCAAAGTAAATATTTCATTACAAGTAGTAGGAATGTGGTGCTCTTGGGAATCATAGATTTAGAACCAGAAGGGGCCTCACGGGCCACTGAGCCCAACCTTCTATTATGAGGAGGTACAGAGCCCCAGAGGACTTGTCCAGTGTCATACTGTTGGTAAATGGCATAGTCAGGATTCGAACTTGAACCTTCCCATTCTAAAAACCAGCCCTCTTTCTACTTTGCCTCACTATCTTAATGTCTACCATGGTCATTGTACTGAACCAGTTTGGGGTGGGAAATAAATATGATCCAGACCCTGTCACCAAAAATATAATAGCCTTCGGTAAGTGAGATGATACAGATAGATATAGACGTGTGTGTGTATGTGCGCGCGCGCATGCGCAAGAATGGCCTGGGTTCTGGCTATCCAGGTTCAGAGCAGAGCTGCCCTTTGAGGTACCCTCTGCCCACAACATTGTGGCCTATGGCCCAGGCTCAGCTATGGGGCTTCCTTGGCACCTGGACTTCATCACACTCAGCTGTTTGTGTTTTCTCCTCTTGTGTTCTAGTGACAAGGTCGCAAGACGTCTATACTACCACCACCTCAAGGAGCAGGTGCTGAGGTCCCAGTGTACCCACAAGGAGGAAGTCTACTTCCTGTTGGCGGCCTATGGGCTGCAAGCAGACTTGGGCAACTACAGAGAGACCACGCATGTGGGGAAATATTTTGAACCTCATTCCTACTTCCCTCAGTGGGTAAGATTTTCCTCTATCGTTATAAGGTAGCTTAGTGAGGCCTGCTGCCCAGGAGATGATAAAACTTTCGTGCCACATTTCCTTACATAGCTTCTCTCACAATAACTCCACCTTTGCTAACCTTTTGCTCTGTAGACAATTACAGTAACATCTACTTGCAAGTGCAAAGAGCATAAAGAGAAGAGGCTAAGGACAAAGGCAAAATATTGGAAAACAGGTGAAATATCTTGAGCTTCATCAAAATTTAAGATGGCTTCATTGTTTTTCCTATTTTTTTTTCTTTAAATTGGGTGCTCTGTCCATTTTAAAAAGAGCACTATTGTCAGAGGACCTGTATTCAAATCTTACCCACCATTGTGACTTTGGGCAAGTCACAACCTTCCTGGGCCTCTGTTTCTTCTTCTGTAAGAATGAAGGGGTTGGTCTAGGTGGTCTCTGAGCTCCCTTCCAGCTGTCACAGGAGCAAGATGATGCTTTTCGCAAAGAATTCATAATATAGGTATAAGGTTTCTATGGAGTCTACACGTTCCTTATTCCTCTCTTTTTTAACATCTACCCTCATGCCTTTTTTCCTTCGTCTTCTTTGATGGAGGATGTTGTAGAGGGTTTAACGGGAAAAGTTCCCGGCTTGTAGTCAGATTCTTGGCCCTTCTGCCACTTCCAGACAATACCCATAGAGAAATCACTCTTTAGTTGGTCAGCAGTGCCTGACTCTCACAGTGGACTGAAAACTGAGTAAAGCTAATACCAACATATTTTATAAGATCCTGTCTCTGTCCTGAAGTGGCTGCCTTGTTTGGTTAGGGAATGCACAGAAGAGACAGACAGTAGTAAGTAGCATGCTTGATTTTCAGTAACAAATAAGTGATATGGATGAGAAATCAAAGTGGGGCTTCCTGGAGGTAGTGGGGTGGGAATCATAGAATGTTAGTACTAGGAAGGACTTTAGAAATCATCTGATCCATTCTCTCTATTTTATAAAACTGAAAACTGAAACTCACAAATGTATTAGGCCATATGCAGAAGCCACATAACCGCTAAAAATAAATAAATAAATAAAATAAGAATAAATTTAGATTTAATTTTAATTTTAAATTAAATTTAAAAATAGTCACATAGATAACAGTACTGGGCTAGAGAGATCAATGGATTTTGACTAAGACCTGGATTCAAATTCCAGCTTTGCTTTTTAGTGCCTATTCATTTGGAGGTAAGCCATATCAGATTTCTTATCCAATAACATGTCAGAATTAGCTGAGGTGCTCTCAAAGGTCTTTTTCAGCGCTAAATTCTGAGATCTTGGACCGTAAAGGGAAGGATGGAATTAGGCAAGTCAAGTGGGGTGGGCAGGGAAGAGAAGAGAGCTGCTGATCTGGCATTCTTTCTGTAGATTATCACAAAGAGAGGGAGGGACTACATCCTAAAACACGCTCCGGAGATTCATCGAGAGCAACAGGGGATGACCACCAAAGAGGCCGTGTTGAAGTTCATCAAGGAGTCCTGTCTTCTGGAAGATGTGCCTGTTCATTTTTTCAAGTTACAAAAGGTTGGGCAGAACATGGGAGGAGCATCTTTAATCCATCATCTGCAAGTGAATCAGGGCTCAGCCCTGATGAGCTACAGTCCTTTTTTATGTGTCTCATCTGCCAAGAAGCCACAATGTTTATACAAGGGATGAGGCTGTTAGTTCCTGTCTGTTGGTGGTTGTGAAGTCTTCCCGCTTCTTGGGGATGGGGTCTAAAATGCTGAGTAGGTACTCTTTGGGGAAAAAAAACAACAACATGCATTTGATTTCCATTAAAAAATTCCATTCTCAAATTCAATCAAACATTAATCAAATGACAGGATTCGATTGAACAACGTGCTTTCTAAATCTTAAATAGTGCTCTGTAGAAATTAACTAGTCCAGTTTCCCCATTTTACAGGTGGGGAAACTAAGGCTCAGAAAAGTGACAGGACTTAATAATTATTATCTGTCATGAGCCAGGTTACCTAGAGTTTGGTTGGAATCCTCCTTTGGCAGAATCATAAAAGATGATGGGAAAATTCCATTGTGATTCTTAAAAAGTTTTATAACAAAAGAGTCCCAAAGATTTAGACCCTACCAAGGGCTTAAATGGAGGTAAAGTGATGTGAAGTGAGATACATAGAATTCCAGGACAGAGTTACCATTAGGACAAAAGGACTAAGGGAATGTGTGAGAAGGGACTTTCCTGGGCAGAGAGACTAATTTCTTACCAGTAAGGGAGGTACCCACCTAGGAAAATCTTGACCTGTATACCTTTAAGGCCTTTGGATCTAGGGCAGACTGAGAATCTACTGCGTTTTTGTTGATTCTGTAGACAATCCCAAGCAGTTTTCTTCTATCACATCAATCCCTGGGGGGGACAAGAGCTGTCTGTCTAGTAGTGGCCAGAAGGTACCCACAGCTTGTTTCTTCATTTCCCTGAATCCCCACTCGTATCTCATTTTACTCTGATAACATTCACGAGGGGAAGGTATCAAGTTCTCTGAGGGATGGTTGGGGAAAATAAATTTCACGTTTGGCTTCAAGCCTAATGTTAGTTTAACCTCTCATCTGTCATGCCTCTTCTCCCCCCCTAGCCTGTGCTTTCTCTCTACCAATATCTTTTCCTCCTTATTTGACTATAGGAGTTCTTTTAAGAGGTGAGGAGTTCCTGGCGCATAAGGAAGGAATGCCTAGGATCTACTTTCAAGGATATAGTGTGGTCTCTATCTAGGGAGCCCAGAGGCAAGCCCAGGGTGGCTTTTTGGGTGATTCAATCACAACCTGTGTTTGCCCTGTTGGTGCACTTCTGTTTCCTGGGTAGTCCTGTCTGCCAAGGTCCTTCCCATCAACATGTGTGTGATAAAAGCAGATTGGGGGTGGTGGTGGTGGTATTTATGCTCCTTAAATTGGGCTGGGTGATGTAATAATTTATAGGAGGCTAGAGCCTTGGCAATTATTGTTTGGAAGACCTGGGCATGTTGGTTGTGTGAATAGCCACAGGCACCCTACAGACTTACGAAAGAGGCTCCAGATCAACTTGTTGGTTCTTGCTTTTCCTGTGGGTGGATTTGTGGAGCTCGCTTCTTGCTTAGGGAGGCTGCCCAGATGGATCCTTTTGTGGTGTTTGTACCCACAGTCCTGGCCTGTTCCCAGGCCAGATGTGGCAGCTGTGGTAGTGTGTATTGAAATGGTTGTGTCCTTATGTGAAGACATGAGCAGGGTGTGTAAACTCGATCATCCTATTAGGATAAATTTCTGAACATCTACTCATGTGGGCTATATCCAGGTTGGATAGGTTTAGTGAAGCCTGGCCTAGTTTTCCTTAGGACCGGTGGAGTTCAGCTTAGCCTAGAATTTAAGGTCAAAGGCCCTTTGTTGTACAGAGTAGAGCAATAACCTCGGCACCATAATAATCAATGTTATGCCTTACGAGGAGAAACTCCCTTTTTTCCCCCACGACAAGGCAAATAGCAGGGGTCAGTACTACCATACCTAGGCTCTCTCAGGGAAAAAGACCCGAACAACAAGAATTAAGCTGGAGGACATGAGCACCTGTACTTGCGCTGTTAAGCTGATTAGATTGGGGGAAGCAAGGGCATATGTACCTACACGTATTCCCAAGTTTCATCTCAGGCTTTGGGTGCAACTTTGCCTGGAAGGGAGGAAACAGACATGGAGGGGCTGCAGAAGAGAAAGAGATGAGCATCAGATACAAAAACTCTTAGTATATAGAATTGTTCAGTAGGCACTACAGTCTTCCATTTATTTCCCCTGCAAATACCCCTGTCCTATAAAAGAGCAGTTGGGCAATGGTATTCTGGACCCCCTCCCCCCCTTCCCAGCCTCATTGTTTCCCAGGTCCAAACACATAAAGAGTAAATGATTAAGAAAGACTTTACTCTCCCCCTCTGTGGGAGTCCTGCTCTCTGATAGGATTGGGAGTGGAAAGAGGAAAGAGGAGGTGCTGATGAGTATAAGGCTTTGTTCCATAGACACTATACTCAATCCAGTTAAAAGATGTTATTGACACGGCACCATGCTTCAGCTATGTTCTGAATTAAATGGGCATTTGTGGTATAGCCTGAGGACCTAACTGCCATGTATGCCATTGTTTCTATTAAAATCATGTTGAGGTTTCCAAATAATATTTTTCAAATGGATACATGGCAGGGGCTCACTTTCCCACTGAAACATGGAGCTTTGCTTTCAATTTCTTTAAGAAGTTTGTAGCCTCTGTCTGTAGTCCATCCAGTTGCTGACCTCCAAGTACAGGAATGCCTCATCAGATGTGGCAATAGCCCGTGATACAGTGATGCTTTGTTTAGTTTTTTTTAGGAGAACTTCCTAAGTGAATCTCCCTGCCCGAGGAATGTGGGAAGCGATGTTTTGCCTCCTAGGTCAGGCAGAGACCTGGATTTTGTCTAGGAGAGGTAGTTATGACCTTTGCTAATCACAGATAACACTGTGTCAGTAGGTAAATGACCTCAAACATTCAGAAGTGAGAAACAACACCACCTCCCCACCCCATCCCCTATACACAGAAACAGACACGTACTTGGACACATATAACCACGATCTTTCAGTGATAGGCATCTGCTACATTCAAATGTCAGATAACCCTGTGGCATCCTTTTGATTTGCTTTAGGAATATAGCTTGTGTGTGCATACCTAGGCACACACAACTTTTGACCCTATGGACTTTTTTTGTCCTTTTAGGATAAGAAGGAAGATCGACCAACAATTGTCCTGGGTCTGACCCTAAAAGGAATGCACATTTATCAGGTAATGGAAGAGGCTTCAACTCCTCATCTTTGCACACAGACCTTTTCTCCCTCACCCTCCCAACCCTATAAAAGTATTTTCACCTCCCTGAAGGCAAAACTACTAGGCTATGTGCATTGTTAACATTCTTTCTCCCGCCTGAAGCCAATCCAGACTCCATCCCCTACTTCTGGGCTCATCCTGGATTCTGGTCAACCCCAAACCAGGTTATGTTTGTTATTTTACAGGAGGTAAACCATTCTCGGCAACTTCTCTATGACTTCCCTTGGTCACATGTTGGAAAGCTGGCATTTCTTGTGAGTATAGAGGCACATCAGTGACATGATGTAAATGCGGAGCATTGATCCAGAAGACTGTGCAAATATATATAATCATGAAAAACATTCAGACAGTTACTCAATATATACACCATGTGTCTAGACACCATGCAAGACATTACGATCCCTGGCCTGTAGAAGCACTGTATATCTAGATATAGATATATCTTTCTATCTAAGTATATGTGTGTGTGTACATATATAATATAGAGAGAGACAGAGGGAGACACACACATGTTGATAATGTTGTGAGGGGGGTTATGTAGTGTTGAGAGGGGTAGAGCAGTGGATCCACAGAGAGGCAGGGGAGGTGTGTACTTTCATCCTCATAGAGCCAGAGTAGACCTTAGAAGTTAGACAGTCCAACCCCCTCTTTTTTTTTTTGTTTAATAGATCAGGAAATTGAGGTCCAGAGAAGCTAAAGTGATTTGCCCAGCCTCTCCTAGGCAGAAAATAGCCAAGCTGAGCTTCACACTCAGGTTCTCTGCCTCCAAATTCAGTGTTCTTGACACTGTTCTACATTGCTAATCACTTTAGCCTCTTGAGTGGAACCTGGAACTTTTAGTTTCTTGTAAGGGTCCTCTGTTTCTGGAGTCTCTTCCAGATTTTTATCTTGACCTGGCTTGGTATTATTCCTAGTGTGAAAATTGCCACTTACGCATGTGCCACACCCCCTTCTTCTCCTCTGACCTTTGTCATAAGACCTACAGTGGCCATGAACTCATCGTCCATCCTGAGTCCTTGTCCCATCCAGTGACCACCAGGGCCTTTCCAACTCTGGATTGGAGGGAAGAGAATAGCGCCCAAGCCTAGGAGCCTTTTAGAGCATCGCGTCCCTTTGATTCCAAGAAGGCCAACTTTGTGTTTTACTCAGGGGAAAAAGTTTGAGATCCAGCCAGATGGTTTGCCTTCTGCTCGGAAGCTGGTCTACTACACTGGCTGTCCGTTCCGCTCCCGGCACTTACTCCTGCTACTCAGTAACAGCCATCGACTCTACCTGCATGTCCAGCCAGTGCTGAAACAGATCCGGCAGCTGGAGGAAGCAGAAGGTAGGCTGTGAACGCCGGGGAAGACAAAGCCTTTGGGCCCTTGTGAAGCAAGCCTTCTCATGTCTCTTTGAGAGTGGCCTGTGTAAGTTTGGGAGTCGGGTAAGGAAAAGGGCCAGGAGATGTGTGTGCGAAAGTTCTATTCCAAATGTTTGGATCAAAGATTTATCCCACACGGAGCCTGTGGCCAGATGATAGAAATATGTGTTTCTTTCAAGAATGTGCTATTCTCCCTCTTTCTGGGGTGCACTTTCTTGTTTGAGAGAGGGATAAAGAGTTCATCTTTTCTCAAATCCTTATCATTGCCCCTATTTTTAATAGTAGCACTTTCCTAGAAACAGGTTCGTACTGCATTCCCTTCATCAGATGTAGGGTTGATGAAAAAATAGCTGGAGACTAGACGAGCAAATCTGCTGCCCGTCTTGTTCCTGCCCCCACCCCACCCTGCCTCACATTCTTCCAACTTTTTTTGGGGGGGGGGAGTGAGGCAATCGGGGATAAGTGACTTGCTCAGGATCACACAGCTAGTAAGTATCATGTGTCTGAAGCCACATTTGAACTCAGGTCCTCCTGACTCCAGGGCTGGTGCTCTATCCATTGTGCCACCTAGCTGCCCCATTCTTCCAACTATTTTAAAATTATTGTTTAATCATTTTCAGTCATTTGGTTTGTGGCCCCTTTTGGGGTTTTCTTGGCAAAGATACTGGAGTGGTTTGCTGTTTCCTTCTCTGACTCATTTTACAGATGAGGAAACTGAGGCAAACCGGGTTATGACTTGCTCAGAGTCACACAGTTATTAAGTGTCTGAGGCCAAATTTGAACTCAGGTCTTCCTGCCTCCAGATCCAATTCTACCTACTCTATCCAACTCTATCTACTGTGCCATCTTGATTTCTAACACATAGAGAAACTGAAATTCTAAATTGGTTCCCCTTCCAGATAACATCTGTTGGATTCACTTACATTCCCTTTTGTCTCAGAGAGTTCAAGGTCTTCACCTGACTGCCAGGCTTACATTTATGCCTCTTCCATTACCCTGAATGTTACAGTCAAATTGAGCCCAGAGGACTCTCACCCAGTTTGTGAGGGCCAGCATTCCTGAGCTAGAGCTGTTGTCTGTATGGGGAGGAGATGGCTTACAGAGTGATGGATGGGCAAAGCCTACACATTCCTTTGATCTGTAATGAATCCATTTAGCTGAGCTCTGCGGTACCTCAGACCCGGTTGCCAAGAATTCCGCATGCCTCCGTCTGTACTGGTCTTCCCAGCCAGCCCTTGGCTCTCTTGCTATTACAGAGAGAAAATGGTCATAGACCCCCATCCTCAATTTCTCCTTCTGTAAACTGTGTTGAGGAAAGAATTTTACCAAGGTTTGTCCTGTGCTTCTTTGGGGAGTAGCCTTTCAAAAAGCAACTGATAATGATGGTAATTGATTGTAATTAGCATTTTATGGTTGGATTCACCTTGAACTGAAAGAGGAGGAAGATTGGACTTAGAACTTTGTTTTGCTTCAGTCTCTCCCAACTATAAGCCACTTGTGGGAGTATTTGTTGTGGGAGTGTTTGAAGGGAAATTTCTTCCCTCCCTGCCAGAGTGGGTGTGGTGAAGGGGAGGAGGGAGTGCCCTCTTTGGCAGCCTAGTAGTAAGCAATGATAGCAGGATGATAATTTCTCTAGAAAAGATCTGTATGTGTCACCGTCTTGGATGCCCTGTATACACTCTGTCTTCTTGGATCCCAGGAAATGATAACAATTTTATTCTGTTCTTTTTTTTCATCCTTATGCCCCCCACTAGGGATAGAGATGGGGATTGGACCTATGGGGAATCTACTTTTAGTAGATTTCATTGGTTTATAGGATTTCCAGGTGAGGAAACTCCCTCCACTGATACAGACTAGCACCTTCATTTTTTTCACCAATTTTCAAAAAACAATTTCTGAACTTAATCAGTACCAAATAAGGTAAACACTTATACATACCAAGCAGAACAGAAAAGGAATGCCACAAATGAAGCTTGAATCTGTATAATGAACGGCTTGCTTTTCTCTTAAAGTGCATATGTTCTCCATATTTCCAAGCTTGTCCTGCTTGTCAGTGTTTCCCATTGACTTTCTTTTTTTAGTTAATCACATCACTATCTTTCCTTCTTTCTCCCTAATTCCCCCTTCCAAATTTGAAGGAAAAATAAAGCCCTTGCATCAGAGAGAAATAATCAAGCCAAACAAATCCCCACATTGACCCCATCTAAAAATGTATTCTTCATTCGGCACTATAGCAGGCTTTTTCACAGGTCCCATGGAATCATGGCTACTATTGCATTGATCCCAGTTTGTAAGTTCTTAAGTCTTTTAAGGATTTTTGTTTTTATAATATTGAAGTTATTGTAAAAAAAAATGTTCTGGTTATACTTTACACTGTGTTAGTTCGTGTAAATCTTACCATTTACTTTTGTGGTTCTTAATGGCATAACAATACTACCATGACATTAAAAAACCATAATTGGTTCAATTATTCCTCATTTGATAGGCATCTGCCTAGTTTCCAGCTCCTTACCACTATTTGTATACATATAGATACTTTTCCTCTTTCTTTTATGCCTAGTGTTGATGTCATGGGTCAAAAGGCATACAAAATTTAGTGACTTGATTGATTCTAATGGATTTCCAGAATGGCTGGACCAGTTCACAGTTCCACTGTAATATTATATTAATGTGCCTGTTTTCCATAGTCCTTTGAACAATTATCATTTTCCTTTTTTGTCAACTTGACCTATGGGTGTGGGTTTTGTCAGTTTGGTGCATGTGAGTTGTGCAACCTCAGAGTTTAATTTGCATTTCTCTTATTAATATAAATGATTTAGAGATTTTTTTCATATGGCTGCTGGTTTTCTCCCAGCTTGTCCATATACTTTATCTATTAGGGAATGGTCTTTGTTCTTAAATTTGAATCAACTCTGTATATATCTTGGATGTCAGTGCTCTGTCAAATATAGTTTTTGGAAAGAATTTCTCCCCATCTACTCTGTTATAATTATAACTATTAATTTGTGCAAAAACTTTTCAGTTTTATGAAATGAAAATTGTCCATTTTCTATCGTGTGATCCTTTTCTATCGTCTCTGAAACTTGGAGTCTTAGAGCAGTCTAGAGTATTTAGAAGTTAAGTAATTTGTCCAGGGTCACACAGGCAGTAGGCATCAGAAGCAGGACCCAAACCTAGAATTTTCTGATCTTTGTCCACTGTGCTCCTTTGTCCCTCAGGTGATCCTCATGCATTCCTTTGTTCCTCTTTAATTTACCATTTATTTTTGTTTACCTCATTAGAGAAGAAGCGTTACCGGGAGTCGTACATCAGTGACACCCTGGAGATGGACCTCGACCAGTCAGACAAACACTCTCATGGGAGTGGGAGCAGCAGAGGCAGTGGTCGGAACCACCACCGGCTCTCCCACCGCTCAACGGATAGCCATGGCAGCTCCCACACCTCTGGTATCGAGGCTGACTCCAGACACCGTGTATCCGTGGAGATGTCTGTGGATGAGCCCTTTGGCATGGAGCTGGGCCACGGTAAAGAGAAGTCCTGCAACTCTACCACCAGCCACAGCAGCTCTGGCATAGATAGCAGCAGTAAAGGGAGAACTGAGGATGGTGAGTGGGTGGGGGGACCCGAGGAACCAGGAATGGGGAAGTTCTGGCTTCCTTTTAAGAGAGAGTACACTTGGTCTGAGGAGAGCTAAGTCAGTTTTCTGGTCCCAAGATCCAGGGATCTCAGATACCTTTCCTTTTGGTTCTTGTTTCTGCAGAGGTGGAGGTGATGGTGGATGGGCCAGAGGAGGTGACAATAGATGATCGGTTGGAGAATAACCGATTGGACAAGGCAACTGAAGGAGGATCAGTGACTCCATTTACTGTTGGGTTGCATGGCTATAAAGGTAAGGACAGCTGAATTTCTGAATGTTGTCATGGAAAAAGACTGAACTTGTTGGCACAGCACCTTGATTCAAAGCATGCCTCTTCTTTTTCCAGCCTACTTGTAAGATATTAAGTCAGTCATCTAACTTCTCTGAGTCTCCATTCCCTCGTAATGTTAAAACAAAAGGATTAGACTTTTCTTTTATTTCCCTGTACGGTAATCATAGCTTAATCTTCTGGGGAAAGAAGTCACTAGAAAGCAAGTAGCACCATGGTTGAGCTTTGGTACATCCACCTTTCTGAGGTGACATATAACAAAGTTCTGTTTGTTCAGAATCCACACAACCAAAAATCTCTTTTAACTGAATTAATCTTTGTGTACGTATGCGTGTTCTGCTTTTATGAGAGAAAAGGATAGCAAATACATTAGCTGATATTAGTAGTTTTTGTTTTTTTTCTTTTGTTCCCCCATGGAAATGTCATGGAGTCAGGATAGCTAGGTGGCACAATGTATAGAACCCTAAACCTGGAGACAAGAAGACCTGGGCTCAAATTTGACCCCACACACTTACAGCTGTGTGATCTTTGGCAAATCACTTAACCTCTGATTGCCTCAGTTTCCTCAACTGTAAAATGGAGATAATAATAGCACCTACCTGTGCTATTATTGTTGTGAGGCTCCAGCGAGATATTTGTAAAGTGATTAGCACAGTGTTTGGCACATAGTAAACACTATGTAAATACTAGTGATAATGATGACAATTACATCAATAGATTCAGTGTTTCAGCATAATCTCCTTTACCTCCCAGAGTGGCCGTTGTGATGAGACTGAGGCATAGCAAAGTGATAACTCCTTGTATTTTTATACTGCTTTGAATATTACAAAGTTTTTTGTTTGTTTGTTTTTTGTGATATAAGGAAGAAATGCTAAATCTGGAGTCTGAGGACCTGGGTTCAAGTGTTGGCTCTTCCACTTAACTTCCTGTGTGACCTTGGACACTTAATCTCTTTAGGCCCCAATTTTCTCATCTGTAAAATGAGGGTATTGGACTAAAGGGCATTGAGGATACCCTCCAGCTCTAATTCTTAGGATGCCATGAACCTTAAATTTCCCTGTACAGTAAGTGGCAGTGGTGCAAGGACTATTACCGCCATTTTGTAGATGAGAAAAATGAGGCTCATGGAAGCTTGATGACTTACTGTTGGTCACACAGCTAACCAATGTCTGAGCTAGGATTCTGATCAACATTACCCAACCTGAAGACTAGTTCTCTTACCACTAAAGCGTTGCTAGCCTTAACAAATCTTCTGAGTCATCAAGAAAAAATTATATTCAAGGTGGTTTTATGATAATTACTTCTTGAAATATTGACAAATGTTGATAAATATGATAAATAATTCTCGAAATATTGAAGATTTGTAAGCATTTTGTGAGCAGTCTTCCTCATCTTTCCTTTGGCCTCTTTGACAAGCAGAAGTAAGTGGGTATCAGCAAAGAAATTCCAAGTAACCTCAAACATCTCATTACCTAATGCACACAACAGCAAGGCAGGGTGAAGGTTGAAGGAGAATGTCATCGTTAGTGGGCCAATTTGTAGCCCTTGATGAAAGGTTTATGTGCAGGTTTCAGTGGAGCCCATTAACCAGGGCAGATGGGTATGGAAGGTTAAGAATTCTGAGCTGGAACAAAAGTGGGCGGCTGGAGAATGAGCAGATGAGCCTAGAAACCTATGGTTGACCATCCCTACTGACTTTTCTTCTTTTCCTACAGCCTCTCACCAGGAACCCTTTGCTGTGGTGCAGATAACACTGGTCAAGATGAGGGGTCAGAGTGTCGAAGCCCTTAACCAGGTACAAGAGGGTGACTTGTATGACAATTGCATGTCCTTGGTCTTTTTTGTTTGTTTGTTTTTTTAACTTTTTAAGAATCTCCTCACATCCTGCCCACACAAGTGGTGAACCTTGTGTCCTTCATCTCCAGCAGACACAGGTATCATGGTCCATCTTTTCCACCAACATAGGTGGATTAGTAAAGCTGGGCATTCCTATGCCCCCATAAAGAAGGGTTTTCGTGTTATTTAGCAGCCCAACCTTCTCCTCATCACCCCAAATACTTCAATAACAATGTCATTAGCAACAACAATAATAACTTACATAGTACCTAGTATGTGCCAGGTGCTGTGCTTAAACGCTTTACAAATATTTCATTTGATCCTCACAACAACCCTGGGAGATAGGTGCTATTATTATCCCCATTTTACGATGAAGAAATTGAGGCAAACAGAGGTTAAGTGCCTCATCTAGGATCACACAGCTGTTTAAATGTCTGAGGCTGGATTTGAACTGAAGTCTTCCTGGCTCCAGGCACAGTGCTTTGTCCACTCTGACATCAAGCCTGACTTTCAGGAGTCTGGTAGTCACACCTCGTTAGTTCTAGCCCTTAAATACACAGAGATACATACTCAAGATTATAGATTTAATTGTTATTGTTCAGTTGTTTCAGTCGTGTCTGACTTTATGACCCCATTTGGGGTTTTTTTTGGGGGGGCAAAGATCCCAGAGTGGTTTGCCATTTCCTTCTCTAGCTCATTTTATAGATGAGGAAACTGAGGTAAACAGGCTTAAGTGACTAGCCCAGGGTCACACAGCTAGTAAGTGTCTGAGGCCAGAATTGAACTCAGGAAGATGAGTCTTCTTAACTCCAGGCCCAGAACTCTGTTCAGTGCACCACCTTGCTGCCCCACAGATTCAGTACTGGAAGGGATTTAGGTGTCAGATATCATCCAACTCAAGCTTCTTTATAGACCGGGAAACTGAGGCCCAGAGATGGGATGTAACTTACCCTAGATCCCAGGCGGCATGTAGCCTAACTGGGTTTCCAGCCTAGGGCGTTGGGTCTCAAATGCAGTTCTCATTGCCTAGTATATTGTGGTTTTACAAAGTATTCTTTCTCACCTAGACCCTTTGGCATAGTAATTCGTATTGTTCTCCTTTGATAGATAAGGAAACAGGGGCCTAGAGGGGGGACGAAGGTTTATGTACACTTTTTCTGTACCTTACCACAACTCTGGGTGTGTTTTGCTCCACCATTTTATGGTTTGATGGGCTATGAACATAGTGATCTGTTGAAAGAAAGAGAGTGTGCCATTATGTTTGCCTTTTGGGGGAAAGAAGAAGATTCTATACCGTAGAAGACAGTGGGCATCTTGCAAAGACAGATCATGATGAAATCGGTCTCCGTGTGAGTTCAGGCAGGAAAAACACTCTCCCGGGGCTCTTTGCAAGGCTAATTTATGCCCGTTGCATATATACTTGCTTCAGAGGCCCCAGCATCCATGTCTAAATAGTGCTAAGTTTCAGATCGGCTAAAGTACTTGGGACAAATCTCTCAATTCCCCTTGCTTAGGGAAAATGATGAGGATGTATGTGGAGTGGTCATTCCCTTTAGACCTCCCATGCTCAGCTCTTTCCTATTGGCAGAGCGGCTATGGTAGCCCTTAAAATAGCAACTTTCATTTGCCGGGAAATCCGTGGGGGTGGTCACTTTTCTTTACTTGATTCATAAATAGCCTTGAGTGGGAACTGATGGCTTTTTATAGAATCCATCCAATTCAACATGTATAATTAAGTACCTACTATGTGCAAGGCACGGTGATAGAATGTAAGAATATATCAGACCAAAAACCAGTCTCTGCTTTTATGAAGCTTATACTACTAACAACAATAATAATGGTTAATGTTCACATAGTGCTTTGTAAGATATGTTAAGTTGCCTTTGATCTTTACAACAACCCTGGAGGTAGGTGCTGTTATTGCCCCTATTTTCAGAGGCTTAAGAAATTAAATGACTTGCCCAGCATCAAGCTACTAGGAAGTATCTGGGGCAGGATTTGAACTCAGGTCTTCCTAACTGTGTGTCCTTGTGCTTTACCCCCTTCACTGCGTAGGTCTCTACTGACGGTAGTGATAAGTTCTCTTGTCCCCCATGCAGCTTGATTAGGACTCCTCTTGTTCTGATACTTTTCAAATTGGTTAGCCCTGTTCTTTGTTTTGGCCCCAAGTCCTCCTCATGTGTATGATGGGGGTGTGAGGGGCCGAATGCCAGGGACACAGAAAGGAACTACTTTTTCAAAAAAGATTGTGAAATCTTTCAAATCTAGTTCCAACCAACCGCCTCTAATCCAGAAGTTTTCCTTATTGCCATCCTCACAAAGAATTCATTAAGTGCCTAATTGCATGTGACATTGTGGGAGGCCCTCTGAAGTAGAAGCCCTCCAGATATTGCCCCTGTCCTCCAGAAACTCAGGAATGATGTCTTAGCCGGTGAGGTCCCACCCATCAAGGTTCTGCAAACATTCATCAGACACAGGAAGGCGTCAGATACAAGTTAATGGTATTGGAATTTTAGGGGTGGCCATGGCAGACAGGGTCATTTGGGCCAAGACCAAGAAAGAGAGCCGTGCCACGCTTGGGAAAAGCACATGATTCTTAACTTTTTATTTTGTTTCCTTTTTTGAAGCTGGATTCTACTTTAGCTTGGTGCCAGTGATACTTTTTGAATCAATTTAACCACATAGCTTAGGGAGATACCGACTTTCAGAGGCTCTACACTCCCCAAAGGAGCGGTGTGGTAATAGTGGGTTTTTTGAAGCTACGAACCTCCCATTCCTTCCCCTGCCCCTCACTTAAGGCTGTTTACTGGTACATTCCACGCTTACTCTGGGGGTTATAGAAAGAAATCCTCAACCCCTGACCACATCTCTGATGTTCCGGGGGCCATGATTGTTAGCTGTTTTTTGTTTTTGTTTTTGTTTTTTATTTTTGTTTCCTGTCTTAGCAAGTTTGTTGCTCAGGTTCCTGTGGGTAGAAACCATGTCTATTTTCCCCGGCACCAAATATAGTGATTGGCACGAAGTAGGTGTGCTTTGAATTTGGAGAAGTAGCTGCTTGGCAGATCAAGATCACAGGGTCACTGACTTGAATGAGATCTGAGGGACCATCTAGTCTAACCTATGTTTGGACAGTGGGTCTTCTCCCTCTCTGCTACCTTACAGGTTAAATCAGTCAGCTAGCATTTATTAAGCACCAACCATGTGCGGGCACTGCTAAGTGCTGGTGATGCAAAGAGAAGCGAAAAACTTATCTCTAGAGGAACTCACAGCCTCAGGGCAGGGACAACAAGCAAACAGCTGTGTACAAACAAGGTATAGACAGGAAAAATCGGAGGTAATCAGCAGAGGGAAGGCACTAGCAGAAAGGGGGATTAGGAAAGGCTTCTTACAGAAGGAGAGAGTTTCCCTGAGACTTGAAGATATCAACAGACTTTTACTTGAAGGCACCACTAATGGGAGCCCACTTCTTCTTAAGGCATGCCATGCTATTTTGGGCCAGTTCTAATTGTTAGAAAAGTTTTCCTTCACAGGAAGCCTAAATCTACTTCTAAAACTTTAGCTAGTTGCTTCTAATTTTGAGTTCTGGCCAGACAGAAGAAATCTGCTAATTCATATGGACTAGAAAACTGTTTCTACCATTAGAAGCTTTCCCCCCTCCCCACAGATAATGACAAGTCACATCTTTTAAACCAGCCACCAGCTGTATATTTAGGCTTCTCAGGCTGTGTGGGTAGCTCTGGAGAAGGAGGTCTTTTTAAGTTTTTTTTGTTTTTGTGGTTTTTTTTTTAGAGGTCCCTAAGAGTCGCAAGATGCGAAGTCCTGAATTCTAGCACATACCCTACCCAACCGAATGTGGCCCATTGGACCCTGGAGCATACATCCCTAAACTTTAACATTTAGCAAAACTTAGCCTCCTAAGTAGCTAGCACATGTAGGAGTAGGAAGCAGTATAGCATTGTGTAGAGGACATCTGACTTGGAGTCAGAAAGACGTGGGTTTAAATCACGTCAGCCACTTATTATCTGTGTTACCCTTGATAAATTGCTTAATCTCGCTTTTCTATAAAATGTGAGAGGTTTAGACAACCATATGCCCTTACTATCGAAGATCTCAAGGGGAGGCCTTCTTTTCAGAATCATCCTCATCATTCACAAACCTTTTGTTGAAAATACTCTAAATACAGGGCACAGTGCTAAGTGCTGAGGGACATACACGGTGGCACAGTGAATAGAATATCAGATTTAGAGTCAGGAAGATCTGAGTTCAAATCCTTCCTCAGAAACTTAACTTCCTATGCCTCAGTTTCCTTATCTGGAAAGTGGGGGTACTAGTAACTCCCACCTCCAGGGTTGTTGTGAGGACCAAATGAGAAAGCACTTTGCACATTTTAAAGCACTTTATAAATCCTAACCATGATTATCATTATTTTTCTTTCTTGCCCTCAAAAATCTAGTTAGGGAGATGGGAGATGTAGTATTTGGGGAAATTATAGTATTTCTTAGTCAGTAATCCCAGGGCTAAGACCCTGGTCACAAGGATAGAATATGGTGCCAGGAATAGCTCGCCCAGCAAATACTACATAACCATGTCCAATATTCCCCAGGATCTGATCCACCAGGGTTTCCAAACCCAGTTTTCTGAGATCTCTCAGTTCAGCATAGTAGGATACAGTTAACTAGTTCCCAGGATGTACGTGTCCAATGAAGGGCGTTTCAAGATTGGAAGCCTTTGGATAAGGCTGAATTTGGGATTTCCTATGGTGTGTTGTACTTACTTATCATTCATCTGTTTTGGAGAGGAGAAGATGAAACACACAAACTGAATTAAATTACACACAAATGAACACAGAAACATTTCTTAACAGTAGGATTGTAGCTTTCTAATTGAGAAAATATTTGGAGTGAATTGGTGGAGAGAGACCATCTATACTTGTCATGATAACAACCTCTTTTCATCTGTATCATTAAGTGATTTTTGAATCTGAAGAACTCACTCATGATCCCCCTCCCCCTGTGGTTTTTTTTTTTCCTAATCCTGCAGCTCAGAGAGATCAAAGCTAGGGAGTGCTCAGACCAGCACAGCCAGAGCCTGGATGACGTCCGCCTTTACCAGCAGAGGCATCCACCCCTGAGCGCCAATCTTTCTTCTCCCACATCTCACAGCTACACTTTTGGCTGTGCCCTAGAGGACAAGCTGTCTACTTATGGCTGTGTATACTCTACGGCCGACTGTAAGACCAAGTCTGCCCTCTATGGGAAGAGATCTATGAACTGCCTCTCCCTGGATCTTCTGGGAGAAGACCAGGTCCCAGAAGAATTTGTAGTCTAAGCCAAGTTGCCACAGTGTGGAGGTGGTTTGTGGTATTGTAGCCTATGAGAGAAAAGAGAAGAGGTCACCTCAGGTCTTGTGGATAACTGTAAAAATAAATCATCTTCCTCACTGAGGGAGAGCGTGACATGGTGCTCACCTTCGCCAAGACAACCAGAGTGCACATGATTCACAGAACAAATTTTGGCACCAGTCCCTCCCTGACCTGGACACTGCCCCAACAGTTTATTCCAATTCCTTAAGCAGCCTCCAGACTGCCAGGCGGAAGGAGCCAGGCATACACAAACCCTCCATCTGGTGTCAGCATTCATCAGTATCTTCTACAGCGTTCCAGGAAAAGAGCAAATCTCCATCTGAACTTTAAATACCTTTTGTATGTGGTGTATTAATGTTTTCTGGACGGGTCTTGAAGGTAACTGGGCAATTCAAATCAATAATCATTCATTAAACACCTATAACATGCAAGACATTGTACTAGGCACTGGAGCTGAAGACAAAAACTGAAACAGTCCTTGCCCATTAGGAGCTTGTGTTCTCCTGCACCACAATAGGTGCTTTGGATTCAGTTGCAGTGGTGTTCCGGTCCTTCCAGATATATCATGAAACCAAATTCTAGGTTCCCACTGGCAACAGAGCCTGAGTGACTTCTTCCTTAATTTCTCTCTCTCTTGCCTTATGATCAACCAAGGAGGGGGGTAAGTTTCTTAGGAAAATCAAGAACTTTTCACCCTTGAGGATACTTAGTCTTTAGAAAGTGAGGGGGAATGGAAGAGAGTAGCATAAGGCAAGAAATGTGTCAACAATGATGAGTGTTAGGCTCATAATGAAAAGCCCTGGGATCTCAGAGCTTCATCTCTGTGCCCCTAACTCACTGAGGCTAGCCAGCTGGGTAGCTTCTGTACCACTGAAGATTTTCCATTTAATGACTGTAGAAGGTCGGCTGTGCTTGAATGGAAAGAGTCCTGCAATTATACATTTAAACCGTAACCCAAGTTTGACTTCAGGAATGCATGTTTTGTTTGCATGGATCCTGTTCTCAAGAGAGCGGGAAGGTTGGTTACCCTCCCCAGGAAGGGTCCCAAATCAGATTTTGCTGTTGCTTAAAAGCATGCATCATGGTGTTTGCTGCAGGGGGCCATTCAAGCTTACTGGTTCCATTTCAAATGACTTCTTTGAAACCCAAATCTCTCAATTTTGTAATAGCCTAGCATGCATTATGAAATCTCAAAGTTCCTTCAACCATCTATGCCAATGCAAAGACAGGCAGGCAGAGTCTAGCACCCAATGAGCACTTTCTATTCCACCAACATCTGTCAAGAGGCATTGATTGCACCCAAACTTGTTTTTTCACGTTTGAGGACCATGACAGGTTATTGGACAAGACACCAGTGTAGTTCTTGACCATAAAGTTAACCTCCCAGGATTTTCTGAGCCCTTTAAAGTGATAACAAGTAAATGAGATCAAACTAGACATTGTACTGAGTCTCCTAAGCAGAAAATTCTTAGAGAAGCCTATGCAACTTTGTTAGTAATTAGGCCATTCTGTACATCCATCACTCTAATAAATAACTTTTCTTTTTTCCCTCTCTTCTTTCTTTTCTCCATTCTTCTTTCCTCTCTTCCTCCATCCTTCCCTTCCTCCTTGCCTCCCTCCTTTTCTCTCTCATTTCCAACAGATTTGTTGAAATAAGATAAAGTTCCTTATAAACCTATCCAACATCCTGATGGTCTGTGAAATGGAGGCAGGCCTGTGGAATTTCCAGCTTTGTAGTCATTAAGTGTGTGTTATTAAGAAGTTAATAGAAGACTCCTGGGAAATTCCAGCTGCCATTCACCAGCTGGTTTTGCCACAGCTCCTGCTTTGCGGTGGAACATTGAATGAGTTTAGGGTCCGAACACAGACTCCTCGAGCTGGGGAAGCTGGCCTTTCTACAGCCACCATTGCTGGCTCCATACACGTATAGACAAACTGAGTAATTTCCTATCTTCTCACTGCCTTCTTTACCCTCCGATACCTACGTGCTCCCAGTTCAGCAATTCTTAACTTAAATGAGTTTATCTCTAGGTCAAGTAGTTTGTTGACAGTTATCTGCTAGGACTTCCAATTATTCATGTGGTAGAATTTCTTGGAAAACTTCAATGGTCAGAGGTGACTACAAATGATGAATTTGCTTCCTTGAGTTACAGTCACTATCAAGGAATTAGCTAACTAGGCAATAACACGCAGTTCATCTTATACATGGGCAGGAATGGGGTGAGGGCTGGCAGGCTGGAGGAAGGCAGTTCTTTCTACTTTGGGGTTCAGTATGGCACCATCAATCATGAGGCATTAGAACTGTGCCTCTATGCATAGAGAGTCCCAGGGATTCTCCTGCTATTAATTACTGTACTCCTTCAGTCTCCCAGTAGCTTCAAAGGGTTGTACCCCTTCTCCCTCCCCAGTTCGTGATAAAAAAGAAAACATTCTCTCTCCGACTTCGCTACAGGCTTTCCTCTGAGAGTAAGCCAGACTCGGTTACAGGTGGACTTACTCCCGATGTCATCCATCAACTTGTCATCATTTGGGTATTTGCTGTGTTGGCCTTTAAAAGGCATGGATCATTTTAATAGACAGGCCTGTCTGCGTCACCTGATGGGAAAGTGGAGCCTTGCATTTATTTGTGTTCTTTCCTGGAAGGACACTGAAAGGAGGTGATTTTCCACGTACTTATTCAGGGCTCCTTCAAAGAGCAGGAGCAACGTGACTTCTGCTGCCTGTCTTCAGAGTAGCCCCTTCTGCTTGCTTTTAAGTAGAGCTCTGATGGAGGAATGCTGTACTTTGAGTTACGTAGCAGGGATTTCATGCTGGTGGCCCGTGTATATTTTTTATTTATTTGTAATTCCCCTTGGGCTGTTGTCCCCTCCCTCCGCATCACCACAGAGATACTCTCACCCCACTTGTACTTTGAATGAGAAAGATAGTACTCATTTTTGTTTAGACAGAATTGACCTATATTTTATATTCCTAAAGTATTAATATTGAATCACTGTGAAACCATTCTTATGCAAGGTTTTTGTAACCATGGGACATTATTATCTTTATTAGTGCTATATTTTGTATCTTGATTATACCTGGTTCACATTATTCATATTAAAGCTTTTTGTGGGGGGAGGGGGTGGGCAGGGCAGGCATTTAATACACAGTATTCTGGATGGCTTATACTGCTGTGCTATCTTCACAGACTTCTCTGTACTGGAAAGTGTTGCTTCTCCTTTCTGTGAAAGGAATCTTTGTATATACCATGCACATGTAATAAAGAAGTGAAAAATGTGTTCTTGATTCTTTTTGTCAGAAGGGAAGCAGGAAGGGGATTAAGCTTTGTTTCAGAGCATGAGGTGGGGCTCCAGATGCCATGTAAAGACTTTGGGAGGAAGCCTTGTATCTGGCTTTGTTCCATTTGCCAGCAAGATTTACCAAGTTTGGACAAAGGTAAAGGTGGCTGGGAATAGTCATCAGTTTCATTGGTACAAGGGTACCAGGGTACAAGGGGACAGCAGTAACTGGGTGACAGAAGTTGTCCCTCAATTACTTAGCAAGTTGTGATGCATAGGCATCCATCCATCCATCCATCCATCCGTCCGTCCATCCATCCATCCATCCCCAGATTTTCTGACTTGCTGAAAACATGCTCCTTCTCTCCACGTACCTTAGCATTTTGCCAAATATTTTTAAGGTAATAGGTACGCACCATGTTGTGCTAGCTCAGAAGCCAAACCTCTTTTTGAATTAATTTTAAATTAGTGAAATACTTTGCTTGTAAAAGTGCTTTTCAAACCTTAATGCTAACTCTTATGATTAATGCATCCCCAGTGCTTAACACATAGTCTGCCACATAGAATAAACACTGAAGTACTTTCCATTTACCTATCACTATTACCTTGCAGAAGCATTATATCATGGAGAAAGCGTCAGGCTTGGAGTTCAGGGTTTGAGTTTTGAGTTCAAATCCCTGCATGTCAGGGTTCAAGTTAAGGGCTCTAGTCTAGCTGTATGACCTGAGCTGCCACTTGTCTGTAAAATGAAGTGAATACTTGCAATAATAATAATGGCTAACATTTATGTACTATTTACTATGTGCCAGGCACTGTGCTGAGCACTTCAGAATTATCACATTTGATCATCACAACCACCCTGGCAGGAGGTAGGTGCTATTATCCCCATTTTTACAGATGGGAAAACTGAGGCAAACAGAGGTTAAGTCATTTGCCCACAGCTAGTAAGTGTCTGTGTCTGTACATGTACTACCTAGCTTATGGAGTGATTGCAAGGGAAGTGCTTTGTAAACTTTAAAAGGTAGTGAAAATGTTGCTGTGGAGTGGGGATGGGGGGAAGGGAAGGCTACCTACATAAGTCACAGTTCCTACTCTTATTCCAGCCAAGAAGAATGAGATGTTCAAATTGGTATAACGTAGCACTGGCCCTGGAGTCAGGAGGACCTGAGTTCAAATCCAGCCTCAGACACTTACTAGCTGTGTGAGTCTGGGCAAGTCACTTAACCCCAATTGCCTCACCAGAAAAAAAAAAGAAAAAAAATCGGTATAACACAATGGGCCATTTCTTTGAAGCCAAGACCCAGTATGGCAGAGTAGATAATAGGTCAAGAAGACTTGCACTCAGGTCCCACCCCCAACACAGGGGCTCTGTGACTGGGCGTGTTACTTAGCTTCTCCCAACTGGGCAACTTTCTGATATTGTATGCTGAATTCATCTGCATTGGTAAAGGAAGTTTATATCAGTGAACTCACATACCACCTCAGTCCCTTTCCAGATACTTTATGAAGCTGTGGGCCAAAAGACTGGTAGTAGGAGAACCAGTTTGGCTGGTTTGGTTGATGCACATAAGGATAATTTAATCAGGCATGGGCAAGCTCTCAAGTCTTCATGAAAAAATGAAAGAGAATAGTGATAATGAAGTTTTCCAGGAAGCAAGGGCAGAGCTTGAAATAGAGGATAATGGTAGCACTAAAGGAGGTCTAAAATACAGGAAAGTTTTCTCAAATGCCCATCTTAGCCATCCCTCATATGACTAGACAGATGGGCATTAGAACAGTGAAACTGGTCAGAGCTTTTCTGAATGTGCTTGCACTGGAACCACCTAATCATTTTGGTTTATGTGCCCAGGCTCCTTGCCTAATTCATGAATTACTTTGTGAGCCAAGGCAGTCCTGTACAATACAGGAATTTACAAGCTTTTAAAGAAGAAAAGCTTTTAAAATAAGACACCTTTTGGGAAAATTGCATTATATGGAGGGAAGTAGAACCAATGTTATGGAGTGGATGGTTAGCTGGCCTCAGACTTAGAAAGACCCGTGTTTCAGTCCCATCTCTGACATATAATGACTGTGTGACCCTGGGCAAATCACTGCATTTCTCAATACTGGAGGCATAGAATCTAAGGCTGCAATTTTATAGAGTAGGTGCCCTCACCTGAAAATCATTGCCAGAATGAAATCATTGGTCTAGATCTACTCCCCCATCCCCAAAACTTATGGATAGGACTGATTTTATTTGTACAAGGAATTGGTGATGATTGGTTGTATGACTTGTATGAACTAATGCAAAGTGAAGTGAGCAAAACTAGGAGAATAATTTATATATGACATCAGTGTTATAAAAATAAACAATTTTGAAGACTTAAACTGATGAAACCTGAAATGAGAAAAACCAGGAGAACAATTTATACAATAACAACACCATAAAAATGAAGAATGTTAAGAGCTGTAAATATTCTGATAAACACAAGACAATGCCTGATGCCAGAGGGCTGATAAGAAAGTATGCCCCAGTTAAGGTTAGGGTTGAAAGGGAAAGAAAATAGATTTCTGTTAATTAAAAGAGTAAAATTTAATTTCAAGGAATGGGAAACAAAGACAAAATGAAACCACCTTTCCCCTCAAGTAACCTACATTCTACTGGAGAAATACAACATTTACATAGGAAAAAAAAAATATATATATATATATATATGTATATCTATCTATCTATCTATCTATATATATATAGATAGATAGATAGATAATTTGAGAAATTAAAGAGTACTGGCCCTGAGGGTGACCAGGAAAAACTTCTCATAAGAGATGGAAGCAGGGTTAAGCCTTGAAGGAAGCTACAGATTTTTAAAGAATTTTTGGTTATTTTGTATTTGACAAACACCATCAACATTCACCTACATCTCCCCCTTTCAGTTAATTATTATTAATAATAAAAATCCATGACAAGCATTCAAACAAAACAATTTCACACATTGTCCAAAAAAGTAAATTTCATTCTGCACAGTGACATCACCTCTGTCAACAAATAATTTTAAGTTAAGGATTCTAAGAGGCAGAGGGGAGGATACGATGCATTCCATGAATGTAGAGAAAGCAACTCTGTAATGGGGGGCTGGGGTTGGGGTGGGGGCAGGAGATGGATTGCTAAGTTTGGAAAACAGCAAATAGTATAGTTTGGCCAAAGTGGAGATAAATCAATCTGTGATTTCGTTTTTGTAAAAAGATATTCAAGGTAAGTAAGTCTGCAAAGGTAAGCTGGAGTCAGACAGTAAGGGTCTTTAAATGCCAAACTGATTTTGTTTTTTTTTTCCCAGAGAAAATAGGGAGCTATTGGAGAATCTTGAACTGTGTAAGAGCTATGCTTTAGGAGAATAATTTTGGCAGTTGTATGGAGGATGGGATGGAGAGATGGGAGAGAGGAAGCAGGGAATTCAAGCAGCAGACGATTTTGGTAGCCCCTCTAGAAGAAGATGAGCTCTTGAAATAGGGTACTTGTCGTATGAGGGGAGAGAAGAGATGGAGCGATATTAAACATTTATTAAGTACCTACTATGTGCTATATATTTTGCTAAGAACTAGCAAACACCGTGCTGTGGAGATCGAGTCTTCAATACCTGGCAACTGATTGAATAGTTGTGGCAAAAGAAAGGGAAAATCCATCTCCTCGGTTTTGTACCTGGGTGACTTTGGAGGAGGGGCTAGTTTAATTGGGGAAAATAATTGGCATCCAATTCCACATTCAGCAGGCATATGGAGATGTGGATCTAGAGCTCAGGAGAGATAAAGCTGGACTTGTAGATTTGGAAGCCATCTACATAGGAATGGTAACAGCCTGTGGGAACTGATGAAGTCACCAAGAGAAAGAACATGAAGAAGATTCTGGAGAAAGCCTTGAGTGATTAGCACCACTTCTCTACTAAGATCCAGCAAAGGAGATTGAGAATGATTGGTCACATACGTAGGACAGAGGCCTAGGGAGCACAGAAGGAATCCAGAGAAAGGAGGTGGTCAACAGTGTCAAAAGGGGCAGAGAATCCAGGAAATATGCAGACTGAGAAAAGGCCAACACACTAAGTGAATGGTCATCTTGGAGAAAAAGCCTGGCCTAGTGGATAGGGGTCAACCTTCCAGTTAGAAAGACTTGCCTCTGACATATACTGTGTGTATGACTCTGGATAAGTCACTGAACTCCTCAGTATCTTCAGTCAGTTCCAAAATTATAAATTACAGATGTATTACAGATGTATGTTCCCAACCTGGGGGATATATGTTTGACTAATCTCCCCTTTTCCCCCACTTTGATCCCCTCACATGACAAGTACACTATTTCAAGTATTCATCTCCCTGCGACACGCATGAAATTACAAATCCAGACCAAACAAACCAACCCACAAAACCTTGGAGAGAGGAATTTCTGTAACTGGTGGGGGTGGGTGGGAAGGTAAACTGTGGCCCTAAGGGAGTGAAGACCGAAGAAGAGGTAGGAATCATGGCAGCTGTAAGGAGGGTGGAGAGATGGGAAAGTATTCCCATATGGGAGCAATGACTAAGGAGAGGAGGCCCAATTAGGGCACCCATGTGAGGATTCAGTACTGTGATTGGGGAGAGGGGGTGGCATGAGAACTTCAGGCCTGAGCTCCTCTTGCCTCCAAGGCCCCATGATTCACTGTTAGAGAGCCAGGCACAACTCCTTATAAATGAGATGAGTCAACACACAGGTACAGACTCATTAACTTATCTTGCCAAAAAGAGAACCTCGAGTACCTACTTACAGAACAGCACGGATGCTCTTCCTCAGTCACTGGTCTGGTGGAAACAACAACCAAGTGATACACTCTGTGTCAAGGCAGGAAATCTCAATTCTAGTCCAACTCTGCCTTAGACGTATGTGATCGGACACGTCACTGGAGTTCAGTTTTCTTATCCGCAAAATAGGAAGAATGAGCCAAATGATCTATAACATGGCCCATTCCAGCTCTGAAATGTTGGGTTTCTGATT